ATTTTTATGCTTAGGTGTTCCGGTCACAGATCCTAAATCTAAAGTTATGAAACCATCTGATTGATAGAAAGATGTAGAGGTTGACCTATATTCTCGACTAGTTTCTTGTATCGGTGTCAAGAGTTCAAACGGAACCATTCTAAAGTTGCCATGGTTATCAGAATAATTTGATGGTGCAACATTTTCATCATTTATAATATTATTCCGAGGAGTCTTGCGAATAAATAATTTATCATATTTTGATACATATGTTATGTCGTCTTCGTCCGTATCATCGTCAGACTTCTCGTAGTTCATTGGTTGACTAAAAATTTCCAATATATCGGCCAAAGCAGCTTTAGTATTAATGGTTGGAGAAGGTTTTTTGGCAAGTTTCTTTGGAGAAATGGCTGGAAAATTTAATGAAAAGTGAATTAACAAATAATAGGCTTAATAATAAGGGAAATTCTATTTTCACCCAGGTTAAAATCACCCAAAATATTACTAAAACTAAATAATTTTAGTTACGTAAATGACATTATAGTTTATCGGGTGACTTTAACCCGGGTGAAAATAGAATTTCCCTAATAATAATTATGATTACAAAATACCTACACCTAGATTCGTCTTTCAATTTTTGATCCATAGTGTTTAATTCATTAACATTATTTTCAAAATTATCTACACACATTCTATTATTGTAACTGCTGGAAATTATTGAATGTTGTTTTAAAGCCATCGCTCGAAGTTCTTCAAAGGAAAATTCGTTTCCGTCAACATAAATTGTATTAAGGTCTACAAATGTTTTTTCATTTCGGAGTTCATCATGATAAATCTTCAATTTTGAAGTGGTTGGAACATTGGGCTTTCGAGCTTGAGGTAACGTTATTCTTTTCCATTTTTCAGCATCTCGAATGTTCTCTTTTTTATTGGCAATATCTGTTCCATAATTATTCCAAGATGAAGAAATATTTTCAGAAACCAATGCAGCATTCCCTAATTCTCCATTTGGATCATAAAATATAGAAATTTTCTCATTATGATTATCAAAATGACCATGTTGATAGGTAGTTGAACCAACGATATTTGGAAGAGTAGAATTTCTTTGATTAAAAACATTTAATGGAACTGATTGTGTGGATGAAGCAGAAGGTTTTACACCAAGAATGGTTCGATGGGGGTTTTCAATTTGAGGAAGATTTTGTGGTGCTTCAAAATCATGTATATTTTCCTGACGTGACGAGTTTAAACGCGCTTTAAATTGTTTATATCGACGGATAAGACGTTCCAATGGTTGGGCTTTTTGATTAATTCCGGATATAAATATTTCCTCAGCATCATTATATCTGGAAAAAAAATAATAATAATAAATGTTGAATTAAAGGATGTATATAAATTCACCAAAAATGAGCCAGCGTTACGCAGAATTATAAAGTCTAGGCAACAAAAAAAAAAAAAACATCCCGGTAATCTAAGTTTATATGAAGCATGAATCAAAATGTCAATGACGAAATTTTACATCATAATATTGACCTTAATCCTATCCATAAACCGGACTAATGCTAATTTAAAGGTGCTGGTGAAATTAAACTAGTATTGGTGAAATAATTTCATCACTATTGGTGAAAAAAGTTGGTGCTAATTTCACCAGTACCTTTACTAATGCTAACGTTAGTCAGATGAACGTAAATGTATAATTCTGGCCCATTTCCAAAAAATTCGAACTGCAATTTATTGAGTTTTTCGATAAAATATACATTACCTCTCCATACTTTCCAATAGTTCAGCATATTCTTCATAGTAAGCAGCTAGATTGATGCCAATTTCGTTGATTTTTAAGAAATCAAATAGCTGTTTTGTTTTTCCGACAAAATTTGCATATTGTAACCAACATCTCAAATATCTTGGATCACTTTTATAGCGCGAATCATTGACAAAACTTAAAGAAGCGCGTTCCAAAAGTTGAACTAAATTTGATTGGGGAGTTTGACCTTGGGGATAATTTTCAATAGTCCATTTTATGTAACGATGGTAAACATCAAAAGGATCGTCAAGCTCACTTAGATTCTCAAGCTCAGCTCTGAATTGAGCATGACCAGTCTGTAGGTCAATTCCGAAAGAGTAAGAATCACCAGAAAAGACTCTAGATAACGAAGCACCACTTCGACCTTGTTTTAAAGGTAAAATATTTTCCTTTTGATGTTCAAACGAAGAGAATTCGGGTATGCAGTTAACTTGTTCCTGCGATGTCGAGGAATGATGAATTCGTGGAGAAGGGGAATTATGATTTATAAGCGAATAAACATCCATATTGACAGCAAAGTTAAAATAGTGATTAAAAGTCCATTTATTTATAATATTCGATCGATCGACTAATAACGTATATTTTGTTTACGTCACGCGTCAGGACTTATCGCCAGTAAGTCGTACCTAAATTTTATAAGTAACGCACCTAAATTTTATTATCTCAAAAACCTACTAGCTAACTCACCCCAAAAACCTAACCCTAACTAAAATTTGGACCTTTATATCTAACCCTTATTTTTGTCTAAAACTGCACCCTAACCCTAAATTTTGATAAAAATTGGAAATAGTTATAATCTAACAAGGAAAGAAGCTGTCGGTTCTAAATATGAGTTCGTACTAGGATGGGAATGGGCCGGGCCTAACTTGAGCCCAAATTTTTGGGCCCGTTACAGCTGTTTTCATTATTTTTGTTTTATAATTAATTTTATGATTATAATGATAGAATTATATTATTTTGCGCGGATGCGTTTTGCGCACCCCATAAGATCTGGTGTAACGTGAAATCAAAACAAACTAA